CAAGTCATGTGTTGTCAAAGAACCTTTATTTATTTTACTCTGTCTTAAATACTGTTTGGGTTAAAAACTAAGGTAGAGAGAGAAACCTGTAAGTAAGAGATCAGGAGATGTTGACAGTTTATATATTTTTGGCATACAAATGAAGTTTTGTCTTAAAAGCAAGCAATTGTTCCAAAAGGGAAACAGATGAGAGCAGGTCCAAAGGTTAAGGCATATTACAGAAGATGTATTATAGAGGATCATGGTTCAAAGTTAGCCCAGGCAGAAAAGTGCATGACTCCATTGACATTTAACCAGCAAAAATCTGGACCGCCATGAACAAACAAACCAAGTGAGAACATGAGGCCTTGAATTCAAGATATAGTATGTAAAAAAATTGTGTGTGGGGGGGGGGGGCGGTGGGAAATCCTGAGGCTTGAACTTAGGACCTGAGCACTATCCCTGAGTTTTTGTGCTCAATGTTTGGGACTCTACCATTTGAGCCATAGCTCCACTTCTGACTCTGGTAGTTAATTGAAGGAGAGTCTTGTGGACGATGTTCCTAAGCTGGCTTTGAGCCATGATCCTCAGATCTCAGCTCCCTGAGTAGCTATTATTACAGACCTGAGCCACTGGTATCCAGCTAAAGCATGCTTTATTTTATTATGAAGAAAGATGAGGTCTTAGATCCTAGGATGGGCTCACATTCCAGCGCTCTTCGGATCACTGTGTGGGAAAATGACTTAGGGATCCCTTAGTGAGGCAAACTTGCCTGAGGATGAGCTGGACGGACATGGGCTCATTACCCAACCCTCCTGCTGGCTGAGGTCTACTTTCTTTGGAAGGAAAAAGCTCTGAGGATGGATATAGGAGGGCAAGAATGAATCAGAGAGTCGGGGGTTAGTGTGTTTTCTATAGGCTGAATGTGAGTAAGATGCTCAGAATAGCCTAAGGCTTCTAGAAGGTAAGGCTTCAGCAGGTGGAAAAGGAATGGAGTCTGCTCTACTAGGTATCCAGTCTCAACCTGGAAGCCTTGGTTGTGGAAGACTCGTGCAAAACCTTCCTGATCTCCACGGAAGAATAACGAGGAGCTTCCAAGCGGCACTTCCTCTGTCATCGTTTCAGGGGTAGTTCTTGGTGATTAAACTCCTGTTTCCTTTGTTTCTCCCATTCCACTCTCTCAGAGTTCCTGTTTCATTTCCCATCTTTGGTGTGATCTGCTTAGGGTGATTTTGCATACCCGGGGATCATAACTCAAGGAGCTGCCTTGCCTTGATCTCCACTCACTTTCCTTTATTCTGATATTGCTACTAAATATACCAGAATGATTCTGGAATATGGTATCTCTATAGCAAAGAATCAGAGTGTCCTGTGGGAGTTTAGCAAAAGAAATGCATTGGAGCACAAAGTGCCCTGTGTATGTGGATAGCCTCTATGGGTACTGGTTAGTCTCCAGCTTCCTATTTGTAGAATAAAATACCCAAGGCAATCAATGGGGAAAGAGAGAAGGTCTATTTTGTCTCCTCCTTTCAGAGGTTTTAGTGCATTTGTGTTTGGCTCAGTTGTATTTGAGGTGGTGGTGAGGGAGCAGAATACGGCGTAGAACAAGTGAAAGCACAAACTTGCTTCCCTCTTTAGTCACAGGTGAAAAGAAGAGGAAGAGGAGGGTCTACGGTCCCACTATGCAGTTCTAGAACATACCCTCCATGACCAGAACAGTCCTGAGAGGATTAGGGTCTCACTCATCTAGCTGTGTCTTCTACAAACCACATATTGAGCTTTGCACGTGCAGTATTGATCTCACATGTTGAGATAGAGCTCATTTTTTTTAATGGGCAAACAGGTTAGAAGTGCAGAGTGAACAAGACAGACAAGAGAAGACACTGTGAGGGTAGTTTAGGGTAATTTATTAATATAAGAGTGGTTTGGTATATACAGCCATGGCAGTGCTATGAGAAATACAGGCCATGGATACAAAGTTAGAGGCATCTAAAGGAAGGAAAGCAATAAACTGTTTTGACAATTTTGTCACTGCAGTGATTGGAATGGTAATTGACAGAGAAAGGTGCATATGTATTATTCTGGTTGGTTACTATCAAGTATTGTCAGGATACAAAGCGCCTCCTGAAATGTGAGGTTCCTTTGTGCTGGTTGCAAGCACATGTCATGGACAGAATGTTTAACCCCAGAGGAGCAGGCAGAAAAGGGGAATCAGTTACCTGAAGGCTTTGTCCAGGGGTCAGATGGCTTCCTAGCAGCAGCATTTCTTCTGGCAGCAGCACTTCTGCTGGCAGCAGCAGCACTTCCCACAGCCACAGCACTTCCCACAGCCATAGCCACAGCCACAGCCACAGGAGCCACAGCCAGAGCCACAGGAGCCACAGCCACAGCCACAGCCACAGGAGTTGCAGCAGCAGCGGCGGCAGCAGCAGTACCTGGGGGAGCAGCAGGCACAGCAGCCACGGCAGCAGCCACAGCAGCCACCACAGCTGCCACCACAGCCACAGCTACCACAGCCACAGCCACCACAGCCACAGCCACCACAGCCACAGCCACCACAGCCACAGCCACCACAGCCACAGCAACCCATGGTGTCAGGAGAGAGGACTCGGGTGAAGTGAGGTGAGAAGATTGAGGAGGGAAGGAGAGGTCTGATTCCCCTCTGCTGGGCAGCCCTTAAGTACCATCTTGGGAAGGGGAAAGGGCGTGACACAGGTCGTGTGACCTGTGGTCACTTCCTTGTAGCTGTTATTGCAGGTTGCACAGCAGGGTCACCTGAGGCCTGCCAAGTGTGCCCCTTACACACCTCCTATGACCCCGCACACTGGCTGATATCAACTTTCTCTCTCGAAAGCCTCTGTGGAAGGAATCCAAGAGAGGCTAACGTTTTGAGCTGCCCTTTATATCATAACAACAGTTGAATCTGTCAGATTTTGCCTTCAGTAGATTCAGGCTGCTTTTAGCAACATCTCATTCTTTCCCATGGCTTTCTCTCCACACATCCAGTGGAAATTGCCAAGAATTAGCAAGAACTCTTGGAGGTAGAGAGCTGGAAGTGTGGCTCAAGTGGTATGCCACCTTGCTATCAGGGCAAATCCCAGAGTCACATCATATCAATGAGATGGGGAGGGGAGAGGCGAAAAGGCAGAGCAGAATACAAGAGGAGAAGCCATGCAAACAGAACATACTGCTGTTCAAGAATGGTCATGTCTTTTTAGTCCTGGCATGTTTCATATCAGTACACAGATGAGTTCACATGATCTGATCCCTATTTCAAGAAATGTTCCTGTCATATTGGTCTTATTTCAGTAACACATTAAGCTCTCTATTAAAAATCTAGCATGCCACCTCATCCAGCTAGCTAATTAAAAAGAACCCAAGTATCTGGGTGCTGGTGGCTCACGTCTGTATTCCTAGCTATTCAGGAAGGAGAGATTCTGAGATGTCAGTTTGAAGCCATCCCAGGCAGGAACATTTGTTAGACTCTTATCTTTAGTTCACCACCAAAAATCCTGGAAGTGGATGTGTGGCTCAAGTGGCAGAGAGCTAACCTTGAACAAAGAAGCTCAGAGACAGTGCCCAAGCCCTTGGCACAGAAATAAAAATAATGAATGAATGAATGAGTGAATGAGTGAATGAATGAGCCCAAGTAACTTGTTCTTTAGAAAGTCCAGTCAAGCTGCTTAGCAGCTACTTACCTATCACACACAGCTTACTATTACCCCATGAAGGGAAAAAAAAGAGAATTCTGTTTCCACAGCAAAACACCCAGAAAAACATCACTGTGATATGAGCATCTAGAAGGATTGATTTCTGGTTTTAAAACAGTCACCAAGGCCTGGTTGTACAGAAGACCAATCACAGTGTGTTGAAGAGGCAGGGAGTAAGACTCCAGCCCCTGCAGATCCCACCGCTCCACAGAGCCATGGTGAGGTGTGCCCTTGAGTGCGACCTTAGAATCTGATCCTAGCTTTCCATCCCTAGTCTGCAGTGTGACTTTGTATGGCAGGCTCTCTGGAGGAGGGACTGAGCCTCAACTCCACATAGTGACATCTCCAAAGCCCAGTTGCATCTGTGCCCAGGGGTTGCCTGAGGTCTGTGAGCCCCACCCACGGCTCACCCATGGCTCACATCAACCCCAGGTTATGGGCACTGGGGGAGACAGAGAAGGCTGCCCCTTCCGCTGACAGCCAGTCTGTCTCTGCCTACTGTGGTGCTTCCCAGGCATTGGAGGCCTTTTGTGTTCATAGTTTTAGGAAAAGAGTAAAACAATGAAAAAAGGAGACAACAAAGACATTTAGATCAGGAAGTAAATAGGAGTTGGTGAGACTCCTGACTGGGCAGCAGGCCTGATGACAAGGAAGTGGTCACCTGACCCACCTTCCTGTCCCAGCTTTGGTACTTAAGGCCTGCCCAGCAGACAGGGGAATCTGACCTCCACTCATCTCCCGAGTCCTCCATCCTCACCTCACCTCACCTGAGTACTGTCTACGAACATCATGGGTTGCTGTGGCTGTGGCTGTGGTGGCTGTGGTGGCTGCGGTGGCTGTGGCTGTGGTGGCTGTGGCTGCGGTGGCTGTGGCTGTGGTGGCTGTGGCTGTGGCTGTGGTGGCTGTGGCTGCGGTGGCTGTGGCTGTGGCTGTGGTGGCTGCGGTGGCTGTGGCTGTGGTGGCTGTGGCTGTGGTGGCTGTGGCTGTGGTGGCTGTGGCTGTGGCTGTGGCTGTGGCTGTGGTGGCTGTGGCTGTGGTGGCTGTGGCTGCGGTGGCTGTGGCTGTGGCTGTGGTGGCTGCGGTGGCTGTGGCTGTGGTGGCTGTGGCTGTGGTGGCTGTGGCTGTGGTGGCTGTGGCTGTGGCTGTGGTGGCTGTGGTGGCTGTGGCTGTGGTGGCTGTGGCTGTGGTGGCTGTGGCTGTGGTGGCTGTGGTGGCTGTGGCTGTGGCTGTGGTGGCTGTGGTGGCTGTGGCTGTGGCTGTGGTGGCTGTGGTGGCTGTGGCTGTGGTGGCTGTGGCTGTGGTGGCTGTGGCTGTGGTGGCTGTGGCTGTGGCTGTGGCTGTGGTGGCTGTGGCTGTGGTGGCTGTGGCTGTGGTGGCTGTGGTGGCTGTGGTGGCTGTGGTGGCTGTGGTGGCTGTGGTGGCTGTGGTGGCTGTGGCTGTGGCTGTGGTGGCTGTGGCTGTGGTGGTAGATGCTGTGGCTGCTGTGGCTGCTGCCGTCGCTGCTGTGCGTGCTGCTCCCCCATCATCTACTGCTGCCGCCGCAGCTGCTGCAACTCCTGTGGTGGCTGTGGCTGTGGCTGTGGCTGTGGCAAGTGCTGTGGTTGTGGCAAGTGTTGCTGTCAGCAGAAGTGCTGCTGTCAGAAGCAATGCTGCTGCTAAGTGGCTGCTACTTCTCTGTTCCTGGATCACAGAGATGGTGGCTTTCCTCCAGCCTCTTCAACAGTCAGGCCTGGACTCTGGGTTTCCTGGGTCATAGATGGTGTGACTTTCTTTCTGCATTCTGGCTTCCTGTGTTTTCTACTTGGATGATGCCAGCTTTTCTCTCTCAGGAGTTCCAACCATAAACCACAATATGAGGGCTGATATAGCTCCGCTCCTAAACTTTCACATCACTGAGCTCCATCCGAACAGGACACAGTCCCACAGACATTTTCCTGTGTACCATTGTTCTCTTCCCATTCCTGTGGTTTTCTGTCTGTATCTCTCCTCTCTCTCTTCCAACTTGCCAAGGGATGATTTAGAATCTCCTAATAAATATAAATTGATGACTGAACATTTCTCTTTGCCTTTCCTTTGGTATGACCATATCCCCAATACTGAACAATTTCAGTCGTGCGGAAGCCTTTGGCCAGAAGCAGTGGCGGCAGAGCCATGATGCGCCTGCTCTCCTTGCCCCGCAGGTGCACCAGGAGTACACCATACAGAAGAGCTGGTTACGAAGCAGCTCTTTAGGCTTCAGTCCATGGTTACTTTGGGTGGTGTTGAGGCAGAACATGATGGTGGGAACACATAGTAGGGAAACACTGAACACACCAAGATGGTAGTGGAAGAGAGGGAAGGAGGGAAAGATGGAGGAAGGGTAGAGAGAGAGGAGAGAATATAGGATTTTCAGGACCCATTCTATTCAACTAGGTCCCATCACTTTCCACTAGGTAAAATCAATTATGAATCTATCAATGGGTCAATTCACTGAAGAGGTCAAACTCCTCAAGATCCAACCCCTTCCCTAAAGCTCCATCTCTGAAAAGTGCCACACGGAAGGCCTTCAATCTTAGTCATTGCAGATCTAAGGCATAACAGCCAACATCTGCAACTGTGCACAAAATCCACATAAAATTCAGACATAGTCCAGAGGTACATTGACACTAAAATACAGCCAACTCTTTTGCTCGATTTCCATGTGCTGGGATCACTTACTATGGCCTGGTGGATGGGTTAGGGTGTAGGTTACAGTGAACGCTCTGTTTGATTTTAGCTTATCAATATGAATTCAGAATGCTGTTCTTGTCATTTTCCCTGGAATCTTCCTTGTAATTCTGTAGAGAGGACCGCACAGAACTGGTTTAAATCATCCATAGCTGCCCTGCTTTTCTTTCTAGTGATTTAGAATAAACTTTACATTTTCCTATTAAAGATGTATAGGTTGTTTTGCTGGAAAGAAATTCAGGAAGTTATCTTGGTACCAATTCTTGTGGCTTCCTGTTCTTGGTGACTTCTCAGTGTCTGTGTGTGGTCCAGTGCTGGAGAATTTTAGGCTGAAAGTGGCCTGGATACATACTGGAGTTAATAGCCTAACATGTGAACACCCAGCTGGCATTTCTGTGTGAGAAGACTTACTATCCCTAGGCCTGGAAATGCTAGATTTCTATGAGGACAGAGTTCAAAATAAAATGGATGGGTCACCATTCAAAGTTTAGGTCTCTCAGAATTGCACTTTGTACACACACACACACACACACACACACACACACACACACACTGTTGACACTCATCACATTACCAGGTTGCAGAGCTTTCATAAAGGAGCAAAACTCAGTGGCTTCAATAAGAGGAACTGATTTCCTCCCCATGCAGGAGGCTGGCGGTCTGAATAGCTCTGGAGTTTCTCTCCTTGGCTTACGCTGGCTTGTGTCTCCCTGTCTACCCTTGCCCTGTTGGACACCTATTCTCCTTTCTCTATGAGGACATGGGTCATTGGATCACACTCACCCTGACAACTCCATTTTACCTAAGTTACCTCTTTAGAGACCCTCTATCAGGTGCAGTCACCTGTGGAGGACTGGAAACTGTGACTCTGATGGTGAGGAGACAGAGTTTGATCCCTAACAAGAACAAAAATGACAAACGATGATGTCTTGCATGCTTTGGTCTTTATTTGTATACTTTGATGATCTCTGTTTCATCTAACATACTTTTTGCTGATATTTCCTGTAGCCACATAGAATTTTACTCATCTACTTTCCTTAGCAAGATGCTGCCTATTAAAACAAAGAATTCTGACTTGGGATCTCTCACTAGGATGCAGAACTGTGCCTGTTAAATGGAGTGGTGTGCTGCCGTGTGAGGTTTGAGCATCCATCTGTGGTAGCTAGGAAAACCAGTGTGATGAGTTAGTGCCTGACACATGCTCTTCTCCTTCTTCTTTCCTGCCTGAGAACCATGAGGGCTCCAAAGCTCCAGTCAGCCATGAAGTAACCCCCATGCATCCCCTCTCCCTCACGATGTGTTCCCACATGCTAGCTGACCCTTGTTCATGGATGTGAGCCCTCCTCTGTGAGACCCTCTTGGCCTTTAGTGACTCCATCTCTTAGGACCTTAGAGTAAAGGCTTTTTCTGATTGTCGGTGACTCCATCCCTGATTGTATTTGTGAAATACAGCCCAGGCTCCCTGACTCTGATACAGATGTCAGGCAGGGATTGCTGAGCCCACGGGTTGTATGTTATAAAGGAACTGTATCTGGGCATACTGAAGTGATTATAATGGTTTGTATCATGTAGCTGAGTCTTACTGAGCTACACTAACAGTGGCCCACAGATAACAACCCTCATCTGACCATCCAACTGTGGGAGAAATGATGACATATAACCCAGTCTCCAGAGGTTAATGGCACATTAACCCACTTTTTCAGGAACAGCCATTCCAATATCCACAGATACCCATAAAAACTTGAGATCTGTAATCTCCATTCCAATCTCCATCTTGAGCCTGCTCACTCTTCCATCTGAAAGTCCACTTTTGCCACTTTTTTCTTCTTTATATCATTAAACCTGGGTATGTCTCCCCTCATACGGTCTTGAGTTGTTTCTTCCAATGAATCCCAAGAAATCACTCACCCCGAACCAGGAGATTCAAGGAGACATCTTCTCAGGAGGGGGTGGATGGCTTTATTCTCCTCTGATTCTGGTAAGTCTCTCTGATTCCTTATTAACATGGCTAAAGTGTCTTTTTAGCTTTAATTTATTTATTATTCTGTATTATTTAATTTACTTATTATTCTGTACTACTTGCAAAACTTGTACAATAGAGATTTATTCCTTTCCAATTCTATGTCTAGAAGGTTCAAGCAATTACCTAACAATTTTTCTTTTGTATCTCAAAGGGTGACTTCAAGATTAAACCTATACAGATTTTGGGCTCATTCTGTGCTTATTTTTGTCCTCCTATGCCTTCTTCTAGCTTGTAAGATCATAGCATTGCTGTTCAACATAATTTAGAAGATTTGTTATCTTCATCAGCCCTAGCTAGAATGAAACTTCTACAACTTCTGATTCATGTGCAGCCAAAGAAATAATGTGTAAAACCTAAATGGCAGTAAATTCTGCCTCAGACCTTCAAGTCATGTGTCGTCAAAGGACCTTTATTTGTTTTACTCTGTCTTAAATACTGTTTGGGTTAAAAACTAAGGTAGAGAGAGAAACCTGTAAGTAAGAGATCAGGAGATGTTGACAGTTTATATATTTTTTGCATACAAATGAAGTTCTGTCTTAAAAGCAAGCAATTGTTCCAAAAGGGAAACAGATGAGAGCAGGTCCAAAGGTTAAGGCATATTACAGAAGATGTATTATAGAGGATCATGGTTCAAAGTTAGCCCAGGCAGAAAAGTGCATGACTCCATTGACATTTAACCAGCAAAAATCTGGACAGCCATGAATAAACAAACCAAGTGAGAACATGAGGCCTTGGGTTCAAGATATAGTATGAAAAAAAATTGTGTGCGGGGGTGAGGGGTGGGAAGTTCTGAGGCTTGAACTTAGGACCTGAGCCCTATCCCTGAGCTTTTGTGCTCAATGGTAGGGACTCCACCATTTGAGCCATAGCTCCACTTCTGACTCTGGTAGTTAATAGAAGGAAAGAGTCTTGTGGACGATGTTCCTAAGCTGGCTTTGAACCATGATCCTCAGATCTCAGCTCCCTGAGTAGCTATGATTACAGACGTGAGCCACTGGTATCCAGCTAAAGCATGCTTTATTTTATTATGAAGAAAGATGAGGTCTTAGATCCTAGGATGGGCTCCAATTCCAGTGCTCTTCAGATTACTGTGTGGGAAAATGACTTAGGGATCCTTTAGTGAGGCAAACCTGCTTGAGGATGAGCTGGATGGACATGGGCTCATTACTCAACCCTCCTGCTGGCTGAGGTCTACTTCCTTTGGAAGGAAAAAGCTCTGGGGATGGATATAGGAAGGCAAGAATGAATCAGAGAGGGGCTGGGAAGGTGGCTCAGTGGTAGAGCGCTTGCCTTGCATGCCTGAGGCCCTGGGTTCGAATCCTCAGCACCACATAAGCAAAAAGAAAAAAGCCGGAAGTGGCGCTGTGGCTCAAGTGGTAGAGCGCTAGCCTTGAGCTGAAGAGCTGAGGGACAGCGCCCAGGCCTAGAGTTCAGGCCCCACGACCGGACTCCCCCCCCCAAAAAAAAGAATGAATCAGAGTGTCGGGGGATAGTGTGTTTTCTATAGGATGAATGTGAGTAAGATGCTCAGAATAGTCTGAGGCTTCTAGAAGGTAAGGCTTCAGCAGGTGGAAAAGGAAATGGAGTCTGCTCTATCAGGTACCCAGGTTCAACTTGGAAGCCTTGGTTGTGGAAGACTCGTGCAAAACCTTCCTGATCTCCACGGAAGAATAACGAGGAGCTTCCAAGCGACACTTCCTCTGTCATCATTTCAGGGGTAGTTCTTGGTGATTAAACTCCTGTTTCCTTTGTTTCTCCCATTCCACTCTCTTAGAGTTCCTGTTTCATTTCCCATCTTTGGTGTGATCTGCTTAGGGTGATTTTGCATACCCCGGTGACATAACTCAAGGGGTTGCCTTGCCTTGATCTCCACCCACCTTCCTTTATTCTGATATTGCTACTAAATATGTCAGAATGATTCTGGAATATGGTATCTCTACAGCAAAGAGTCAGAGTGTCCTGTGGGAGTTTAGCAAAAGAAATGCATTGGAGCACAAAGTGCCCTGTGTATGTGGATTGCCTCCACATAGTCTCCAGCTTCCTATTTGTAGAATAAAATACCCCAGGCAATCGGTGGGGAAAGAGAAAAGGTCTATTTTGTCTCCTCCTTTCAGAGGTTTTAGTGCATTTGTGTTTGGCTCAGTTGTATTTGAGGTGGTGGTGAGGGAGCAGAATACGGCGTAGAACAAGTGAAAGCACAAACTTGCTTCCCTCTTTAGTCACAGGTGAAAAGAAGAGGAAGAGGAGGGTCTACGGTCCCACTATGCAGTTCTAGAACATACCCTCCATGACCAGAACAGTCCTGAGAGGATTAGGGTCTCACTCATCTAGCTGTGTCTTCTACAAACCACATATTGAGCTTTGCACGTGCAGTATTGATCTCACATGTTGAGATAGAGCTCATTTTTTTTGATGGGCAAACAGGTTAGAAGTGCAGAGTGAACAAGACAGACAAGAGAAGACCCTGTGAGGGTAGTTTAAGGTGATTTATTAATATAAGAGTGGTTTGGTGTATACAGCCATGGCAATGCTATGAGAAATACAGGCCATTGATACAAAGTTAGAGGCATCTAAAGGAAGGAAAGCAATAAACTGTCTTGACAATTTTGTCACTGCAGTGATATGAATGTTAATTGACAGAGAAAGGTGTATATATATATATGTATATATATATATATATATATTATTCTGGTTGGTTATTATCAAGTATTGTCAGGATACAAAGCTCCTCCAGAAATGTGAGGTTCCTTTGTGCTGGTCGCAAGCACATGTCATGGACAGAATGTTTAACCCCAGAGGAGCAGGCAGAAAAGAGGAATCAGTTACCTGAAGGCTTTGTCCAGGGTCAGATGGCTTCCTAGCAGCAGCATTTCTTCTGGCAGCAGCACTTCTGCTGGCAGCAGCAGCACTTCCCACAGCCACAGCACTTCCCACAGCCACAGCACTTCCCACAGCCACAGCCGCAGGATCCACAGCCACAGGAGCCACAGCCACAGCCACAGGAGTTGCAGCAGGTGCGGCGGCAGCAGCAGTACCTGGGGGAGCAGCAGGCACAGCAGCCACGGCAGCAGCCGGCACAGCCACTGCAGCACCCACCACAGCCACAGCCACAGCCACAGCCACCACAGCCACAGCCACAACCCATGGTGTCAAGAAGGAAGGTTCAGATGAGGTGGAGAGAGAAGGTCCGGGAGGGAAGAGGACGTGAGTGTGTGTGATGTCTCCCTCTGCTGGGGAGCCCTTAAGTACCACCCTGGCCTGGCACATGACCCTCAGTCACTTCCTTGCAGCTGTTATTGCAGGTCACACAACAGGGTCATGTCGGGCCTCCCTTGTTTACATCCCACACACTTCCTATGACCCAATTCATAGGACCCAATACATCTGCTAATAGCAACTTTTCCTTTCCGAAGCCATTGTGGAAGGAAGCCAGGAGATACTCACGTTTCAAGGTGCTCGCCACCTGATAGTCCCAGCTGAGTGTTTCCGATGAGGATTCAGTAGATTCAGGGTTCAGGGTTGCTGTTACTCCCTTGCACTTCTCCTGAATGGTTTTCTCTCCACACTTTTAGTTGAAATCTCCCTGATTTCAGTAGGCATCCTAAATGCAAAGGAGAATCCACATAGAACACACCATGTAGTCCCAATTCTCGTATCTTTCTTTCCCCTGGATGTTGTAAGGTCAAAGGGATATCAAAGGACATTTAACAATGTGCAGTTCATTAAATGGACAGTTTCTTGTTATTTCATGTGTTCTGAACTAGCAAAAAAGGACTTATTTCTGCTTGTAAAACAATCATCAAGGCTTGGTTGTACAGAAGACAAATCACAGTGTCATGCTTCCAACGAACAGGCAGGGAGTAAGTTTCCAGCCCCAGCAGATACCAGATTCCACTGCTCAAGAAAGCCATGATGGTGACCTTTGATGCCATGCTCATAGTCCCAGCTCTAGATGCTCATTTCTATTGCAATCAAAGGCAAGCACTGAGCCTGGGTATCACTCACGTACATACAAGGAGCCACCGGTTCATTGAGGTTGTCTGAAGATGCCCTTGGGCTGTGAGCCCAGCCCACAGCTCACATACAAGGCCCACGTATTGGCCACTGGGGAGGAGGGAAGGCCAGCCATTCCTGTGCCAGTCTGGCCACGTTCTCCCACACAGCTTTTAGGCCTGTTTGTTTGGTTTTGCTTTTATTTTTATTTTTTATTGTTATTATAAAGGGGTTATATGACAGAAGGGTTACATTTCTGCTTCATCTTATACAGGAATCTAGTTTTAGAGAAAGATGAAGTCTTTTCAAGTCTGAAAGTGAAGAGAAGACAAAGATACTATAGACAGGAAGTAAATAGGAGTTGGTGAGACTCCTGACTGGGCAGCAGGCCTGATGACAACAAGGAAGTGGTCACCTGACCCACCTTCCTGTCCCAGCTTTTGGTACTTAAGGCCTGCCCAGCAGACAGGGAATCAGACCTCCACTCATCTCCCAAGTCCTCCATCCTCACCTTTCCTGAAGTCTCTCTATTGACACCATGGGTTGCTGTGGCTGTGGTGGCTGTGGCTGTGGTGGCTGTGGCTGTGGTGGCTGTGGCTGTGGCTGTGGTGGCTGTGGCTGTGGTGGCTGTGGTGGCTGTGGTGGTAGATGCTGTGGCTGCTGTGGCTGCTGCCGTCGCTGCTGTGCGTGCTGCTCCCCCATCATCTACTGCTGCCGCCGCAGCTGCTGCAACTCCTGTGGTGGCTGTGGCTGTGGCTGTGGCTGTGGCTGTGGGAAATGCTGTGGCTGTGGCAAGTGCTGTGGCTGTGGCAAGTGCTGCTGTCAGCAGAAGTGCTGCTGTCAGAAGAAATGCTGCTGCTAGTTAAGTGCTGTTCCTAGGCAACAGAGATGGTGGCTTCCCTACCCCTCTGTCTGCTGGAATCCCAAGGACCTTCACACTTGGTCTGTGACTTTGCTCGGTATTCCGGGTTCTTGTCTTTTCTACCTGGGTGTTTCCAGCCTGTCTGAGGAATTTCTTACCCAACAACAAACACCAACACAAGGGCTGGGACAGCTCAGTTCCTGAGAATTCACATCACGGATCTCCATCCAAACAGGATACGTTTTCATGTGCATCCTTGTTTCCCTCCCATTTCTGTGCCTTTCTCTTTGCCTCTCTCCTATTTCTCTTTCTACTTATCAACGGTTGTTTTAAAATCTCCTAATAAATGCAAATTTAAGACAAAAAAATCCCTCTGCCTTTCCTTTGATGCGACCCTATCTCCAATGCTGAAAATGTCTTCTCTGACCAGCTGAGTTGGTTTTCAGGAGGGAGTTTTGTTACTGACAATGTGTGTGTGATAGTCAGCTTTCCACAGCTGTGACAGAACACTGGAGAAAGTAACCTTAGAAGAGAAGATTTCATATGGCTCCTAGCGTTTAGTGGCTTCAGTCCACAGTGATCAGTTTTCATTGTTGTGGGAGGTTTTCAGACAGAATATGATGGTGGGAGCATGTGGTAGATCAAAGCTACTCACTGCCAGGTGTTTGGGAGCAGAGAAACAGAGCAGGCACAAGGAGGAGGTAAGATTTGGTACCAGATAGAGCCTCCTCCAAACTCAATTCCTTCTTAGGTCTCACCTTCTGATTTTCGATTACCTTCCAGTAGTCCAGCAAACTATGAAGATAGACATTGATGGAATAATTAATTGATGAGGTCAGAAACCTCATAATATGATCACTTCCTTAACCCTTCACTGCTTTATTGCTTTATTGCTGCATTGCACATCTTGCTTCAACAATCGGGCTGTGAGGGCAGCGGGGGCACTGTTGATCTTCACCATCAGTGTCCTCAGCTCAAATCCTGTCCTATGCACAGAGAAACAGTTCAAACACTTCACAGATACATCGATTGCCAGTGCTTTTGCCTGCTTTCCATGTACCGAGGTCATTCATTATGATCTTGAGCACAGATTATTACAGTGCAGGTTCTGTTTTATGTTGGGTTGTTAACCTAAACATGTAGCTATATATACAGATTTAGCAAGTCCTGTATGTTTAGCATTTCCATTTCCCCAGGAAAACAAATATTGTATTAGGTTGTCAAAATGAGAGAATCTGAATGGACCTGGGTTGATTTTATTGTTGCCTGTCAGCAACTTTTAACTACACACATCCCTGCTTGTGGAGGAAACGTTGATGTTTCTAAATTGACAGCTACCATCCACTTACATATCAGTGTGTTAATGCAGACAGCATTGTCCAGGGAGGTCCAGGGTGGCTTAAGTCAGCCAGAGCTGCACAGCCCCTCTGCTAGGTTGTCTGGAGTAAACTCTGCATTTTTGTATTGGCCACAGGGACATTAGCCTGTATAATCCAAGCTGGCTTCCTAACTTGAATTCTTGTCCCTTCCCCGAATCTCTTTTCTGTCATACTTTGTGTATTGTGATCTGGTGCTAGAAAGTTCCAGGCTGAAAGTAGTGTAGATAAATGGCAGACTCCACAATGTGAAATCAGCCAAAATCTCTGTGTGGGAAGTTTTCTCACTCTGTAACTACTAGTTTCCTAAGTAAATCAAAACAAAACAAAACAGAACAAAAAAAACCTAATGAGGAGATGGCACACTATTTACAGAAAACCTCTCTTTGTGTTCTGAAATTTGTATTCAGTTAAAAATGTGTACTATTCTCTTAGTGATCAAATGTCTGCAATCACAGCCTACATCTTATTTAGTAATGCACCTGGACCACACAGGATCTGTTTTGTTATTAGTTATTTGTTTTCAAAGCCTAAACATAGGCCCCAAATTACAGTCTGCTTAGAGAGAGGCATGCCGGGCTGTCATCTAAGTTAAGATTAAGTGGCCCACACTTCCAGTGAGTTCTTCAGTAGCCTCCCGCTTTCATCAAAATTTCTGAAGCATCATCCTGTCCCATTGTCTTGTGATTTTTTTTCCCCTTGACTTTGGTGGTGGCATTTTCAGAAGGACGATCTGAAAGCCAAGGGTGTTAAAAATACCATAAATCACACTAAAAATGTATCTCACATCCGGGCTGCAATCGCTACATAATTCTGTCGCTATTTGTTAAGGACAATTCATCATCGGATTCACCTAAGACTCACAACCTCTGAAGACCCACTGCCAAGAATGCGTCATTCACGTGTGCTGCTGACACCCATGGTAATGACTATGAGAGTTTGCTGGAGTGCTAAGCCACAGAAGTTGGTGTCCTAAATAAGAGGAATAGAGTTTTTCACAATTTTGGAGGCAAGAAGTCCAGTCAAGGCGACAGGAGGTTTGGATTACTTTTTTCTCCTTGGTTCAACTGGCTGACTTCTTCTTCATAGCTGCTCCTCCTCTGTCCCCCTTCCTCTCCCGCCTCCCCCCACCTCCCACAGCACTGTGTTCTAAGCTTCTCTTCTTATGAGTCAGATCCAAAACCTCACTGAATAGTTGAGGGTTTTTGTTGTTGTTTGTTTTGTGTTTGTACTGGTCTTGCTTGAACTCAGAGCCTGGGCTCTGTCCCTGAACTTTTAGCTCAAGTCTAGAACTCTACCATTCAAGCCACAGTGTTACTTTTGGTGTTTAATTAGAGAGAAGGCTCATGGACTTGCTGCCCAGGCTGGTTTTGAACCTGGATCCTCAGATCTCAGCCTCCCGAGTAGTTTAGGATTACAATTGTGGGCCATTGGGCTTACTAGCTTGTTTTATTTAAACTACTTCTTTAAAGATTTAGATCCTTAAAATCTAAGAAAAGACCCGGCTGTTCCCTCCTGTGTGAGTTGCTCGATCACTGGAAAAATGGGAGAGAGGTTCCCCTAGCTTCATACGGCTTTGAGGTACACTTACCAAAAACATTTCAGGATGCCTCACGGAGTAAACATTTTAGCAAGGATTCATTTTAGTGTAACTTTGAGAAGTAGGAAAAAAGAAACATTTCTTGCTCTCCATGAAGGGAATAAGAATGCTAATGTGTCCAGAGGGAAGCTGTTATCTGCTCCCTGTATTCTTTCTGAGCTGGGGCAGATGGGGGGGGGGGAGGAGTGTGGGTACACATGATCATACACATTGCAGCCCCCGACAGACAACGACTCTTGGTGGCCAAGATGAGTGCTGCTTATTGTTCTAAAACTTCTGGGCCTACCCAGACCATAGGTGAGCTTCAGGACTTCCTTTTCCCAGAGAAGCTTCTCATCTTGTGGTCCCTACCTGTTCATGGAGAGTTCACAGCTTCCCCCTCTCCCACATTTCAAAGGAGAGGGTGGATTTAGATAACATCTATCTATCTATCTATCTACCTATCATCTATCTATCTATCTATCTATCTATCTATCTATCTATCTATCATCTATCTATCTATCTATCTATCTACCTACCTATCTATCTATCTATCTATCTATCTATCTATCTATCTATCTATCTATCTATCTATCTATCTATCTATCTATCTATCTATCTATCTCTATCCAGTTATTATCTATCTATCTTGCTCTTAAGATGTTGTTCTGAGGGGTTACTATTCCATAAGTCAGATAATGAATATAATTCTCTTTGGACAATGCCTCTTCTTCCTTCCCTTTCCCTGTTTCCCCCTCCCATCCCTGCCCACAAGTTGCAAAGTTCACATTCCACATAGTGTATACTGAATACTATGACTGCATTTGTTCACTTTTTTTGAGGGGCCGGGGAGGTTGGTCTTGGGGCTTGAACTCTGGGCCTGGGTGCTGTCCCTTAGCTCTTCAGCTCCAAGGTTAGCACTCTGCCACTTGAGCCACAGTGCCACTTCCAGCTTTTTCTGCTTATGTGGTGCTGAGGAATCGAATCCAGGGCTTCATGCATGCAAGGCAAGCACTCTACCACTGAGCCACTTTCTAGGCCCTTGTTCACCCTTTTAATTCTTTCAGTCCTGTACCTTAGCACCTGAAGGAAGGGGTAAAGGAAGAGAAGCTTAAAGTTCTTTTTTAGCTGCTTCTAATTCCACTTCTAGTTTGACTCTTTTTAGATGATTAAAAATAATACAATTTTCCCAACTCCTCACATTCTTCTGTCTCATTTCTCCCCTAAATTATTTTGATCCTTTTCCTTCTTAAGAGGGGTACAAAGACTGAAAGTCTGTCTTCCTGATGAGAATGGACTGCTGGCTTTATCTGGAAAAAGAGAATAAAAAACTCATTTCCCTGTATCACTTAGAAGAGGATGTAGGAAATTCAGTTGGCATGAAATTTAGTTGAAGGACTTCCCTAATATCAAGACTAGATGGCGATCAGGATCAGAAGACATTAAGTTATTACTTTTACCAAAAGAGAACTCAAAGAGATTAGTGGAAATTATCTTTTAAAAGTAAATAGTGTTTTCTATTGTATGGATAGTTAATATGATTTTTAAAGGAATCATAAAAACAGTAAAGAAATGCAAGGTTTGCCAGGCGCTGGTGGCTCATGCCTGTAATCCTAGCTACTCAGGAGGTTAAGATCTGAGGATCACAGTTCAAAGCCAGCCAGGGCAGGAAAGCCCCCATGAGACTCTTATCTCTAGTTAACCACTCAAAAACTGGAAGTTGTGCTGTGGCTCAAGTGGTAGAGCGACCAGCCTTGATCACAAAGGGGTTCAGGGGCAGTGTCTAAACCCTCAGTTCAAGCCCCACAACTGACAAGAAAAAAAGAAAAGAAAAGAAGCACAAACAGAAATGGCATACTAGGTTGATAGTTAAAGATGGCAACCTACATGCATCTGTCGTCTATTTTAGACATAATGGGCAGGACAATGTTTTACTTTAATATTGAATATTTCCTGGAGGGTGAAGGGTGATTTTACATCTTTTAACGACATACAAGGATCAGTTACTTTTACTCCTGGAAGAATCTGCCTGCTTTGTCTCTGTT